AGAACCAGCCTGTGGGCATCTGAGTGCTCCTGAGTGCCTGGAGCTGGGAAGCCCTGCCACAGGGTGACCATGGCAGCCAGTGATGGAGAATGATAGTGATGGTGATGATGGTGATGGTGGTGACAGTGATGGTGGTGATGATGGTGGTGATGGTGGTGGTGGTGGTGGTGTGATGGTTGTGATGGTGGTGTGATGGTTGTGATGGTGATGGTGATGGTGGTGACAGTGATGGTGGTGATGATGGTGCTAATGGTGAGGGTGTTGATGGTGATGGTGGTGTTGATGGCGCTACTGGTGGTGGTGATGGTGAGGGTGATGGTGGTGATGATAGTGATGGTGATGGTGGGGGGGGTGGTGATGATGATGGTGCTGGTGGTCACGGTGGTGATGGTGATGATAATGGGGATGATGGTGGTGATGGTGATGATGATGGTGGTGGTGGTGGTGATGAGGTGATGATGATGATGGTGGTAATGATGGAGATGGTGGTGATGGTGATGGTGGTGATGATGGTGGTGATGGTGATGATGACGGTGATGGTGGTGATGGTGGTGATGGTGACGTGATGGTGGTAATGGTGGTGATGATGATGCTGATGATGGTGATGGTGGTGGTGTGGTGGGGAAGGTGATGATGGTGATGGTTATGGTGGTGATGTTGAGGGTGGTGGTGATGATGATGATGATGGTGGTGGTGATCATAGTGGTTATGGTGATGATGGTGGGGATGCTCATGGTAGTAACAGTGGTGGTGATGACGGTGATGGTGTTGATGGTGATGATGGTGGTGGTGATGCTGATGATGGTGATGGTGGTGGTGATGTGGTGATGATGGTGGTGATGGTGATGATGGTGGCGGTGATGGTGCTAATGGTGAGCATGTTGACGGTGATGGTGGTGTTGATGGTGCTAATGGTGGTGGTTATGATGAGGGTGATGATGCTGATGATGGTGATGGTGTGGTGGGGAAGGTGGCCCTCCCGTTGATCGTCGATTTGCTCGAGCGGGCCCAGTAACGTCTCCATTGGAGACTTTGTTGTTACTGTGTCTGGCATATCGAATACTCTCGGTAGCTTGCCGGGCTCTCCGAGAGGGGCGGAGGAATCGAACTCGGGTCGGCCATGTTGGCCGCGTGTAAGACGAACGCCCTACCCGCTGTGCTATCGCAGGGGAAGGTGATGATGGTGATAATTATGGTGGTGATGCTGAGGGTGGTGGTGATGATCATGATGATGGTGATGGTAGTGATGATGGTGGTGATGACAGTGATGGTGGTGATGGTAATGGTGGCGGTGATGTGGTGATGATGGTGGTAGTGGTAATGGTGGTGGTGGTGATGGCGGTGATGGTGATGGCAATGACGGCACTGATGACCATGAACCATCTGGTGGTAGTGATGATGATGAAGACCATGAGGTGGTGACAGTGAGGTGACTGCAATCACTGTTGACCCAGAGAAGCATCCTGGTGTCCTGGCAGCCTTGCCCTGCGTCTAGGTTCTCTGCTCTCTCCAGCTCTCCTCTCCTGGACGCAAGGCCAGAGATGTCCAGGCCTCCCTGCTTGCCTCCAGCCACCCAGCTGGCCCTGGGGCTACACCCTGTTCTGAGGGCTTCTTCCCAAGTGGCCCCGATGTCTGCACAGCCACTGAGGCCTGGTCACCAGCGACATGCAAGTCGGAGAGGGCTGGGAGAACATTCTGTCCCATTCTTTCAGCCTTGAGCACACCTCCTCCTCCAGGAAGCCTCCCCTGACCACCTACACCATGCACTCTTCCCTGGAGTCACTGCACCAGCTGGCGTCTGGTGCAAGGCCATGAGTTTAGGATCCAAAGTGGCTCTGATGCCACAAGGGCCAGCCACTGCTCCTCATAGGCTCAGCAACCTACTTCTTCACTGTGGAGACCCTCGTGGGTCCTCCACCGGGTATGCCCATACAGGCAGGAAGAAGCCCCCACTGAAGCTGCCTCCATCCCCAATGGCTGCAGGCCGCATCCCTGCTTCCCTCCAGCTCGAAAAACATTCCCTCAGTGTCTCGGGGCACAAGGGCACGGGGTAGGGGGAATGCTCATTAGAGGCTGAGTTTCCGAACAGCCACAGAACGTCAGCCGGGAGGAGGGCTGAGATGAGGTGGCCTCCGCAGGGTGCGGGGTGCGGGGTGCTGGGTCCAGCCCTGGGAGCCGAGTCCTGGCCCCAGCGAGCCCAGGCACGGCAGCGGCACAGCCCACGGACCCCCGAGGCGCCAAGTGTGTTAGGGGATGTGGAGTCAGCAGAAGCGGCTTCCCAGAGGGGCCAGCTAACACCCTCCCCCCAGCCCTGAGGGGTCCCGGAGGCTGGAGCACCCAGGCCATGGCCTCTAGTCCCCGAGAGCCCCGCTGGCTCCCTGCCCGGCCCTCAAGGGTTGGGGCCTCTCACGTCGCCCAGCCATGCTGCCCACTGGGCACACAGACCCCTATCCACATGGCCCTCTCCCCACCTGCCTGCTGCTTGTGGGGGTGGCTTGGGCACAGGAGAGGGAGTCCATGGTGGGGAGAGGCAGCGGTTGAGGGTAGGGGGAGGCTTGTCCTCCTTCCTGTCTCCCACACTCGGGGGCTCCAGCCCGTCTGTCCCAGCTGCCTGGGGATGGTGCCGTGGGGCTGGGGCCACCCCCATCTCCCCCGAGGACCAGGCTGTGCTCTGGGCAGCCAGGGTTGGGGGGCCCTGCACACATTGGCCCCTCCCCTGCGGTCACTGCCACCCCGGCTGTCTCCATCCGGGCTGTCACCGTCCCTCCCTGCTCTGCCTCCTCTGTGGGAGTAGCCTCTTCCCAATCAGCCTGTCTGTGGGACCAATGGCCCAGACGGCTCCAGTTCCACGGACAGAGCCTCAGACAGACAGACAGACAGACAGACAGACCCATGCTGTGCCCACGCAGCACCAACCGCTTTGCTTTTGACCTCCTGGGCCTCCGATCGCCAAGTGCTCACCCATGACCTCTCCTCTTGGTCACCTGCTGGCAGACCCAGAGGAGGAAGTAGAGGGACCCTCCCCTCCCCCCAAAGACACCACCTCTGTCTGGAAGAAGTCGCCTTCAGGGTGGGGAGACCCCGGCTCTCCCATAGCCAAGCCAGAGACGCACAGGAATCACCTGCCCGGGCCCACGGATGAGGAAATGGAGGGAAAGAAATTAAAGACCCTGAAAGTGTGCTGGGGGGAGGCGGGGTGCCCCCGAGAGCAGGCGGGGCGGGCACTGCTCCTTTTGGAAGGGGGGGCTTCCCAGGAAGGGTGCCGGTGGGGGGGGGGGGCAGAGACGTGGCAGGAGAAGAGGCCAAGGGTGCAGAGGGGCCCCGAGCCAGGAGGCGTCTCCTCTTCAGGCCGCCCAGCGGAGGAGACACAGGACATGGGCTCAGGGTCCAGTTCAGGGTGCCTGTCCCGGCAGGCATGTGGCTGGTGGCAGGAAACGCCCTGTGCCCAGCAGAGACGCCCAGGGCCCCCCCTTCCTCCAGGGCACTGGACGGGGCATTGGAACCGGTTCCCGTGGCACCAGAAGACCCACAACCTGGAGAGGCGCCTTAGCACATCAGCTTCCCCTCAGGACCAGTTTCTGGTGGCGTTTGCTAACAACCCACCAACCCAGCACAATTATTTCTGGGAGCTAAAGGAGAACCTGGGAGGGCTCGGGGGGCCGGGGCTGGGCAGGGATGGACAGAGATTCGGCGTCTCCCACCCCACACCCCAGGCCACTCTGGGGCCTAAGGACAGTCCCCGGCCTCCCGGCATGGCACAGGTAGTCCCATTTTTTTTTTTAAATTTTTAAATGAATCACCGTGAGGTACAGTTACAGACTTACAAACTTTTGTGCTTGGGTTTCAGTTATACAATGATCGAGTACCCATCCCTCCATTAGTGCCCATTCTCCACCACCAATGGTCCCGGCATCCCTCCCTCCACCTCCCTCACCCCCACTCTGCCTCTGTGGCAGGGCATTCCCTTTTGCTCTCTCTCTCCTTTTGGGTGTTGTGGTTTGCAATACAGGTATTGAGTGGCCATCATGTTCAGAGGGGGACCCCCTTCTTTCTGCCCGTGAGTGATGATGTGGGGGCCTCCCTCTCCCGGCCCTCCCAGGAGCACTCCAGGATTGGGAGCCCCCCCAAAGCACAGAGGCAGTGACCATAAGGCAGAGGAAGGGATTGGGGGGAGGGGAGGTCCAGTCTAGCATGTTCTGAGAACAGCAGCAATCCGTGAACAAGCTTCACAAAGGACCCGGGTCCAGCTCCCCCATCCCCTGGAGGAAGCCCCGGTCTTTCCTAGGAAGTCAACAGCACTTTGCTCCCGACAGCAGTGCACGGCCACCCACCCACAATAACCAGCACCGTGTCTGCGCATCAGCACCACGGACAGAGGCCACCACCACTGCAGCCAACAGTGCTGCAGACATCACCAACAGATCACCGGCCACGGACAGAGGCGTCACCAAAGATCACCGAGCCACGGACAGAGGCATCACCAAAGATTACCGAGCCACGGACAGAGGCCACTGCTGACACCACCACCTGCGCTGAAGACATCACCAGTAGATCACCGAGCCACAGACAGAGGCCGCTGCCCCCACCACCATCTGCGCTGCAGACATCACCAGCAGATCACCGAGCCACGGACAGATGTATCACCAGCAGATCACCGAGCCACGGACAGAGGCCACTGCCGACACCACCGTCTGCACTGCAGACATCACCAGCAGATCACCGAGCCTCTCCAGAGCCGCCTTCCCACCTGCGCCCACGCCATACCCATCTGAGAGACCAAAGGGCATGTCAGAAGCCCAGCCACACTGTCTGTCCTCACCAGAAGAACTAGAGGCACGCAGGAGGCAGCCGTGGGCCAGCCAGGACCGGCTCCCTGGCTCCCCCTCGGGCCGCCTCCCTGCCCAGGCCGCCTGCTGCAGCACGCACACAGGTGCCCGCGGTGCCCTCGGCAGGCCCTTCCCAGCACCAGAGAGCAGAAGAATCGAGGCCCAGCCACCTACCTGAAGGAGCCAGTAGCACCTCCGGTGGAAGGTGGGGATGATGGAGGAATGAACATAGCAGCCGTACAAGCACTAGAGAGAGAGAGAGGAGAAACAAGAGTTCAGTTGGAAAGAGGGAAGGAAGGAGGAAGACAGGCAAAGGGGGGCGGACGGGGGCAGGCAGAGGCTGCGGACAGTGTTCCAGAAGCACAGGGGGACAGGACAGGCAGACCAGCAGGCGCTGACTCTCCGGAGAGTCCCCAGGGCATCCGGGGGCCGGGTCACACGTGTGTGTGTGCATTTGGTGACGGACCCTCACGTTTCTGGTTGGGGTGGGCCTGGAGCACCCACTGTACTACCCCATCCAGCGTAGCAGAGGCTGGAGGCAGGACCACCCTCTAGACCCCCAGAGGCCCCCACGCACGGCCTCGTGAGTGTGTGCGTGTGTGTGTGTGTGTGTGTGTGCGCGCACGTGTTGTCTAACACCAGTTTAAGGAATCCGTAGCTCTTGAGTAAGAGCCCGCACATTCTGCAGGCGGGTTTGGCATTGGAAAGTCTCCCCCTCGTCCTGGCCGGGCCCCACCCCTGCCAAGCTGGAGACGAAGGAGGGTGGAGGGGAGGTGCTGACAGTGACTGGCTGACCACCACTGGGTCCGGTTGGATGACAATGCAATAGGTTCCTCTTGGGCTTAAACCTGGAGTCTGGGGTGGGGGGTTTCCTGTCCCTTGGTCGTGGAACAGCAGCTGCCCGGGGCGTGTACTGGGATTCAGGACACACAGACCAGAACACCAGGCACCAAGCAGGAGCCTGCGGTGGTGGTGGTGGGCGGGGGGTGTTTCCCTGCATCTGGCATGCACCCACCCCCCTCCGCACCCCTTTCCCAACAGCAGACCAGCAGTCCTGCACTTCAAGTTTCCACTGAGGGGCTCGTCCCCCGCCCCTGGCACCCCCCAGCTCCAGCGGGGATGGCTGGGCTGAAGCTCCCTCCGTGGGCCCTGCCCGACTCCTCGGCAAAGTTGAGAGAAAAATTGCTTTGGACTCCGGGACTCGGGCGGCTGCAAGATCAGACCTGCAGCGGGTTAGAACTTCTACCGATCGCTATCAGCTGGGACTTGAGCCCGTACAGACCAAACAAACAAAGCGGAAATTAATTTAAACGGTTCCCTTGCAATTCCCGCCCGCGAAACGTATTTATTATTAAGAAGGCAATATTCTCTCCCGGCTTCGCTCCCGTCTGCGGCGTTCACTCTTATTTGCCGTAACGTGCTCCGTGGTGCCCCCGGGGGGGCTGCGCGCTGACCCTCGGGGTCAGTGCTACGGTGCTGGGTGCGGGAGTCCGGCGGCCGGCGAGAACCAGGGCACTTCCGCTGTGACATGGGCACGTGGCTGTGGGCAAGGCTGTGATGGGGATCGTGCGCCTGGTGGCCTCTCCCCTCTCCCGTCCCTTGTCCCTCTGAAACCCACGGTCGCGCCTCCACCCTGTGCCCAATGACCCTTTCCCGTTGTCCCGCTTTTCCGTACATCTCCGAGGGCCTGGGGTGCCTCTTCTCTGCCCCCCTCAGCCCTGCAGACTTGGACCTCCCCCACCCAGTGCTGGCCCTGGCCACTATCCTGTCCCCTCTGGGCAGGTTTGAGGAAGAAGCAAACAGCACCCCCGCGACCCCCTGGAACCCCCCCCCCCCAGAACAATCCCCAGGCTGCTGCCCTGCCACTGGCCAGACCCATCCCGGCCGGAGGGACGCTGTGACCAGGAGTGACATCTGCATCTTCCCCACATAGGGCCTGGCAGGGCACCCCGGGAAGTCCCTGGCTGGGGTGGACGGGAGAGCAGAGAGGAGGGGGTGCCCGGGGCAGACCTCCAGCAAGAGGCTGGCATCGCCAGGTGGAGGGAGAGTGAGACGCCGAGTGGGCGGGAGTGGGGGTGAGCAGTTGGTCGGGACTCAGTGTGGGAGCTGTGGGTGTGGAGGGGGCCAGCACGGATGCCCCCGGCAAGCCGACCTGTACTGGATGGAGAAGCTCCCCCCCACCCCGCGGGCCGGACATATGCCGGGGATCGAACCCGGGTCTGCCATATGCAAAGGCAGCGCCCCTCCCCGGAGCCTGGGATGCTTTTTCTGTTCTTGCACCAGCTGCTGTTGATCTGGGGAGCCCACCCCCAGCTTCTCCCAGGCTGTCAAAAGTGTTGGTGGGAGAAGGACCACCTTTTCCCCTTCCCTGAGCCTGGGGCTGGGGGGTCCCCTGGGCCAGTGCTCCCAGGTCTGGAAGGAACTTCCTGCCTCTCTGTCCCAGCCTGAACAGTGGCACCTGCGTCCGTCCGGCTCTGAGCAGCCCCGAGGTTGAAGAGGAGGCGACCTGGGGTGTGAGCAGATCGGGGAAGGCATCTGCACATGGCCAACCCAGGTTCGATCCCCGGCACCCCACAGGGTCCCCCGAGCACTGCCAGGAGTGAGCCCTGAGCACCGCCGGGCGTGGCCCCCAAACAAACAAGACAAAAAGTTCACTCACTCACTGCCCTTTCCCTGTGGCCTCCTGTGGCGGGGGCCGCCCACCAGGGCCTTGCACAGGGGTGGATATAGTGCACCCGTTTGAAATCCGTTTTGGGGGTGTCTGTGGCTGTTTCAACCCGGAGCCCAGCCGCAGCTGGCTGACCAGCAGGGGGTGAGGGCGGGCCTCAACGTGCCCCAGACCAGGGTCCCCGCCTCGTCCACTGTCATCCGCCCCCACCCCCGGGGGGCACTGGTAGCTTCCGGAGGCCCACGCTTGGGTCTGGTGCCCTTGAGACAAGGGGGCAGCTTCAGATGCGCCGTGAGGGACAGAGAGACGAGAGGAAAAAGGGAAGAGTCAGGAAAAGCACCATGGAGTCCCGGAGGCAGAGGGGAAGTCTTGGGCTGGGTGCGGGTCATTCCGTCTGGGCTGTGGACTGTGGTGGCCCCCTGCAGAGAAGGGAGGAGGCAGACGCAGCACTGGACTCCCCCGCCCCCACCTCTGTTCTCTGTAAAGCCACAGTCCCAGGGGCAGAGCAAGAGCAGCCAGAGACACAGCCACCGAGCCCAGGTCCCAGCGCCGCCGCGGGGGTCCACCTGGTCACCCCTGTTTCTTCCCAGGGCAGCAGCTCATGGGAAACAGGGACAGCTGGGGCCTGGCCGGAGCTGCAGATGGACAGTGGGGTGTGAGCATGCAGAGAACAGGACACACGTCCCTCCCCCGCACCCCCATACACCGGGTGAGGAACATGGGGGAGTCTGTGGCCTGTCATGCCCCCCCAGCACACAGCTGGGGGACAGACGGCTCGTGACAGCCCGGTCTTCTGCCCCCTACCCCGATCTGCTCACACCCCAGGCCGCCTCCTCCCCAATCTCGGGGCTGCTCAGAGCCGGACGGACGCAGGCACCACTGTTCAGGCTGGGACAGAGAGGCAGGAAGTTCCTTCCAGACCTGGGGGGCACTGGCCCAGGGGACCCCCAGCCCCGGGCTCGAGGAAGGGGGAAAAGGTGGTCCTCTCCCACCAACATTTTTGAGAGCCTGGGAGAAGCTGAGGGTGGGCTCCCCAGATCAACAGCAGCTGGTGCAAGAACAGAAAAAGCATCCCAGGCTCCGGGGAGGGGCGCTGCCTTTGCATATGGCAGACCTGGGTTCGATCCCCAGCATCCCCGGGTTCGATCCCCGGCATCCCCTGCCAGGAGTGATTCCCGAGAGCAGACCAGGGATAAGCCCCGGGCACCACTGGGTGTGACCCCAAACCAAAACAAGGCGGAAAGAAAAGGCCCCAGGCTCGTGGATGTGGGCACAGCCGTGGACGCGGGGCAGCGGGGCGTGACCGTGTGCAGGAGGTGGAGTCGCTGCCTCTGTCCCCGGCTTGGTTCCATCCTGCGCAGAGTGGCGGGGAAGGTTGAGACCGTGGGGCTGGGAGGAAGGGGCGCAAACCTTGGGGGCACCTGGACCCCAAGCCCGGGCCCCCTCCAGCATGGGGCAGCGGTCGCTCCGATGACACACACAGGCCTCCCTGGAACAAGGCGCCAGCCCATCCTCACGCCAGCACTGTGCTTATACTAATGCAGGGGGGACAGCAGAGGGCACCATGCATAGCTGCCCACGGGAGCACTGAGGCTGGAGCCCACGGAACAGTGGGTCGCGGGGGATCGGCTGAGTCAGCGATGGCAGCGGCGGGGTCCCTGCTGGAGGATGTAGCATGGGTGGGGGGGAATGAGGCTCTCGGATGGCCAGTGACACCCCCCCCCGCCCGCTCTCCTCAGCATCCGCCTTGATCCCTGCTGGGCTTGGGGTTCACCCCACCCTGGGCTCAGGGCCAGCTTGGAGGCTGAGCTCAGGGCAGGGGACCCGTCCCCCACATCTGTGACCCCTCCAGGTCATGCCATGGAGGCCCTGAGCACCCCGGGAATGGCCTTTGCACCCACTACATTCTTGGGGGCCTCTCCAGCCAGTGGGCGGCCCCAAAGGTCTAAGCGGGTCCGTGAGTCACATGTGGAAGCTCAGGCATGCCGCAGGGGCAGGGGCCGCAGAAGGGAGGTGGGGCCACAGGCCACTGTGGCTCCCCAGGAGAGGAGGGTGTGGGGTAGCTCTGGGGGGCAAAGGGGGTCTGCAAGGGAGGGAGCAGGGGGCAGGTGGTGTCCCCTCACGTCCAGCGGGTGGAAACCCCCCACCAGAGCACCTGTGGGGTCAGAAGCTCAGGGCTTGGGGCAGAGGCCCAGGGGACAGCCTGGGGCTCTGCTAGGGGGCAGGCCTGAGAGCCCCACATGCCACGGGAGGGTCCATCCCTCCAGGCCAGTAAGGGCACCGTCAGGGTGTTCCTGGTGCCTCTGCCTCTTCTGGGGAATTGGGGGCGGTCCTGCCCAGCGCCAGCCCCAGCCCCTCTGCCATGGCCACCTCAATGGCCCGAGGAGGACTCAGTGAAGATTTAGGTAAAATAAGGCACTGAAGGGCCTTTGGCAAGACAGAGCGCCCCCTGGAGGCTGAGTTTCATTCGCTCTGTTCTGGGGACACTCTGGGATTCACAAGCCAGAGGCCACAGCCCAGAGTCCCCGGGCCAGCCCAGTCCATCAGATGCCCAGAGACACTCCCGGGCTTGCCCAGC